GGGGGGGGGGGGGGAGGGAGAGAAAGAAAGAGAGACAAAAAATTGACGACAAAAGCGATGGTGAAAGAAGAGAGGAACGGAATTTTTAATACAGAGAGAAAAAGAGAGAAAAGTAGAAGACTAAAGATAAAAACTATGAAAGACGAAAGCCGAATTTCGACTATAAAAAGAGAAGAAGAGAAGTAGAGAGAAAGAGAGAGAAGTTGAAGACTGAAGACAGTAACTTCGAAAGTAACAGTGAGAGAAGGGAGGCAAAATTTATGTATGAAGGAAGAGAAAGAAAATAATAAGGAGAATAAGGCATAATACGAAAAGGGAACGGCTCGTACGAACGATCATGCGACTTCTCACAACGATGCTTCTAAGTTTCGTAGATATCTCATCAGCAACCCATATATACCTCAAGCCACTGGCAGATCATGAGTGGATGACGATTGCAGCGAGGAATTATAAAAAACGATGGGGAAAATTGAGTTCAAGGAGAATAAAACTAGAAATGATGTACAAGTAAAATAGAGAGAAATATATATATATATATATATATATATATATATATATATATATATATATATATATATATGTCTTAAGTATAGAGAGAGAGAGAGAGAGAGAGAGAGAGAGAGAGACTTCACAGTAAGATTGGCTTACCTTCGGCGTAACGAAACAACATTAATACGATCGAGGATCATCATTTTAGAAGTTCTGTGACCGTTGATATACAAAAGAAAGAAAATATACTTTAAGAGAGGGAAAATCCGCGTTTGCTCGTCTCGCGATTCAATCGTCTCACTTCTCCCGACGAAATATGAATAAAAAAGAAAAGATAAAGAGAAAGAGAGAGAGGAGAGGGATAGAGAGAAGTATTGTCCAATAGAGTCGATATTTATTAATGTTTCTCGTTCATTACGGGAATCTTCTTCTCGGGAATAAACACGCTATTACAGAGAAAAACTGACGATAAAATGTGGACGAGCAAGCGTTGCTTAGTGAAATTCAATTCAGTTTGGAGCGATTGTAGAATTATTACATGATTAGAGAGATAGATATAGATAGATAGGTAGATAGATAAATAGACGGAAAGAAGAAAGCGAGAGAGAGATATATATATAGAGAAAGAAGATCGGATTCTGAAAGTAAAGCTCGCGTGTTCCAGCGACTAAATACCCTCTGGAGCGTTGCATCTGCGTGCACCATGTTTTATTTTTTTTTTACCTTGTCCACGTTATGTCCTAGTGTGTCCCACTCGACAACGAGCGATAGGCTTGGCAAATTAATCCCCTAGCTCGCATGAGCTTCATGAAGCGGCCTTAGCAGCGGTGACCAAAGTAGTTCAGGTCGTAATTCGCGAAAGGGACGAGGAACGAAGAGATAAAACAACAACAACAACAAAAAAGAAACCCAACACCTCTGGTATTGTATTGTTATTATTCGCAAGAGGAAATATTTGACGACTTGAGTAGCGACGAGGTGAGTCGTCGATAAAATTTGCATCGAATTGCGAATAAGTACGTGGAAGGATGGAAACAAGTGCGAGAAGGAAGGTGTGAGTATAACGGTGACGTTATTAACGCGCGAGGGATCAATTTGCCCGCGAATCATGTTGTATTCCCGACCTATACGTCGAGTATCAAAGATATGACGAGCACTCATCGATGGGAGAGGAGACGCGAAACGAGGTACGCGCGTCGTTCCTCCGTGTCCTCCGTATATAATCGCGTCGAATAATAAGGAAGATGGAACGAGCTAACTACTAAAGTCACCAGAAGTAAAGAAGAAATGTATACGTAGCCGATAGAGTGTGGCACGGACAGAGCGATCGCCGTGTGATCGAGTTCTCGAAACTCCGGCCCGATCCGCAAAGCAAACACCGAAAAACGAGTTTCGACGAGTATCTGTATTCGACAATACGTTCACTTTAAAATTAAGTATATCGAGGGCGAGTTGGCGAGAGTGTAGTCTGTCGAAATCCTCTGAAAGGTGTGTCGATGATCCTTTCAGAGGTTTAAATTGACTCGTCAATCGGGCCAGGGCTTCGAAAATGCAGCGCATCATCACCGATGACTCTTTCGAACCATAAAAAATCTTGTGTAGCTGTTGTCAATATTCGCTTATGTTGTTGTGATGTGTTACCTTTCGTTAACTAGCTTGTCAGTGAAGGGGTTTCGTGGTTGTCGCTTCATAATATCGCTCTCTGCCTCCTCGTAGGCTAGCGAGATGGCGGGTACCTGACGTCACATTATCAAAGAGCTCAGTAACAACGCCAACAATCAAATAACGAGTATGTCTTTTGATGATACTAGTGTAAGAATGCAGACGCGTCGATCACCGCGCATCGATCTATTACTATTTTTCAAGCTCTACTAATCGACTAAAACTATTAATTCTAATATGATCATCGGTCCTCTGGTTCGATTATTGTGAAATCGGATTAAAAGTGAATCGGATTGTTGGCGACGGCATTCTTACACCCGATGAAGCGTACAGAGTAAACAGAAAATAATCAACTGAAAAATAAAAAAACCAAATTAATTAAGAAAATGATATCTGAGGGTCAGGGAATATCAAAGGGGAATCAAAGGAAACTCGCGGTATCTTTCGCGAGTAAATAGCGAGCGGTTTCCTCGCGGCGATAATAAAGCGCTTGAAAAAAGTCTTTTTTTCAATCGCCACTCGCGTCTTTCGTTGTGCGACAATTCTCACTTCCTAACCAAGTGTATATCGATTCATTTTTTGAGTTGCAACGCGTTTGGCTTCTTCGTTTCTGAGATAATTGCATACGAGACGAATATGTTCTAAATAAGTGACGCTTGAACTCCACCAGAGCGATTGACCTAAAAGGAAACGGGAAATGCTAAAGATATTAATCGACGAGCATCTGTTAGCTGGTTGTCAGCGACACCGTTGTAGATTTCTTCGTTGTGTAACATCGTACTCTCGAGTCGAGCGGTATCTAAGAGAGAAGAAACAAAGTAAGAATATCGTCAGACGTGTTTCCGAAGAAACTCCCGATTCGTGTAACGAGTCCTCTGGGTCTACTTCCTGAGGTCGAGTTCGGGGGTTATTCCAGGTATAGTGCGCTGTGGTATCTATCAATCATTATAAATGTCAAAGGCTACTGCGCATCGTCGTGAAAGCGGTCGTAGGGTGTGCCTTCGTGACTCTGCGGCGCACGTACACGTTACGAGATTACATCGGTATCGTATATCGTGTATGGCGACGGGCGCGGCGCAGGCGCTGAAATATTTCGATTAGTCAACAGCGAGAAGCTCGAAGTAGCGATTTCGCGAGAGACCTACTTCCGCGAGAGCGCTTCCTCGTAACATCGCGCCGTTACTCGACTCGATTTGAGTAGCTAACACACGTTTTGTACACTATTAGTCCACTATTCGGTCATTTTTCCTGACATTTTATCACTCACCATGTCGGTTCCCAGATCAATGCAGAGAATAGTAACGGTACCCAGAGGCAGAGGAATATCGCAAAGGATGAACGCCAGGAAAGGCGAGATCTCGGGTATGTTGGAGGTCAGAGTGTAGGCGATAGACTTCTTCAAGTTATCGAAAATCAAGCGGCCCTCTTCTACGCCTGTCACAATCGAGGCAAAATTGTCGTCGAGCAAGATCATGTCCGCCGCTTGCTTCGAGACGTCTGAACCGGCAATACCCATAGCGACACCAATGTCGGCCTTCTTCAGAGCAGGAGAGTCGTTCACACCGTCACCTGGAATAATAAATCAAATATGTTAACGTTTGAGACACTTATCGCGCAACAAAGAATTATTTTATTAATATCCGAGAGTTTTACGATATAAAAAAATTATAAGTTTAGGTTTTGTTGGATCAGAGGTGGGTTTTTTGTGGATTTATTTTCAACGTTTTGTAAAAATGTCAGTTTATCTCAGCAGAAAGAGAAACTACTTGATGTTGAATCGCTTCTCAATAGATTATAAATAAGTGTTGACTAATTGGAAGAAAAGGGAGCGGAGAAAAATTTGTGCTTGTATTATAATTAATATTATTTTGATTATCTTGCTATACATGTATATTAGATACAATTGGGTAAGTTAAGGTTTCTTTAACTATAAATTAAGAAAGAGAGTTAAAAGTTAATGAAAATAACTTATAAAATTAACTTAATTAAGTTAAAAATTACATAAACAAAAATTAACTTATTAAAGTTAACTTACTAAGAGCCGGTTTTTCAACGATAGTTTAAACTAAGATTTCAACTTAAACTCTGTTTAAAAACAAAACCGCATTGTTAGAATAGAGTTTAAATTTGAATCCAAGTTTAAACTGCTATTGAAAAACCAATCCTAAGAGTTAATTATACAAAACAATATATGTTTCTTGCATTATTAACTTTTTAATCGTAGATTAAATTTACATAACATAATGAAAACATGGGTTTTATAAGAAACTACCAATTGTGTGCTCAGGATTTCATAGGAGAAAAAAACACTGACATTCAGAGAGACGAAAAAGAAAATGCCAGCAGATTAAAATCTGCTGACATTATTTTTAATTTTCCGTATTCTGCATTGTAAGCAGCCCGCAATAATTTTAATATAAGAGTTATATTATCTTATATGAAAATAAGTTAATAAGTCAAAGTTAATGCATTTAACTAATTTAAGTTGAAACTCAATTCATTTAAAATTGATTAAGTTCAATAAAAAATAATTAACTTTTAACTAGTTACCCAACTCTGATATCAAGTATTAAAACATGCATTGTTAAGAAATTGATTGCTACTCTAAGATAAAACGTTTTTTGACAATGTGAACGATAAAGATATATCTTGCCACGATATTCTCTTTAAGCGACAACTTACCAGTTACGGCAACAATCGCGCCCATTCGCTGGCAGCCTTCGACGATGATGAGCTTTTGCTGAGGCGAGGTACGGGCGAACACAATTTCGGTGTGGTACCTGAGAATTTCGTCCAATTGGTCGGAGTTCAGTTCCCTGAGTTCGGTTCCGTGGATGACCGCGGCTTTAGCCTCGCGAGGATTTACTTCGGACACTGGGATATTCAACCGTTGCGCAATGTCCTCAATAGTCTCGTTACCTGATGGGAAGAAAGGAAGTTGATGTCGACAAAGTTGTATCAAGCGACAGTCGCAAATTAGCTATTACTTCAAACTTACGTAGACTTAAATTGCATTTAATAAATAATTAACTGACCGAGTATTCTTCACGTAATAATGTTCAAGAAATATGTTAGATTCGATCTCTTGATTCTTGGACAAATAATTACTCGCAGTGAAGATTGTCACGTAAAATACAAGAAACTTCAGTAAATCTCGCCGCAGAAAGTCTGAATTGACGGTAGCGCCTAGTAGTATCGAGAACACGAAATAACCGTGTCAACGTAGCTGATTGGCTAACACTAGACCAAGTTCACGTTAGGCCTCGCTTGACACCTCGGAAAATTAGTTGCGTTTTATCGCGTTTTTTGCAGTTTCTCTGTAAAGTGTATATATTATCGTGATCCTCACAGCAGCAAATTCAGTGATACTGGTGATACATTATGAAAATCGAAAAATTAAATGTGTTCATACATGCTAATTTCAGCTGTCACAAACCACCGTGATAGCCGAAAAATGTAGCATTATTTCAAAAATTATTTTACGACGCTACGTGATATATCAGCCAGATATCTGCGTTTGCTGTATTTTTTACAGATTTCAGGATTAGGAAAATATTTAGTTCTTTAGGGAGAAATAAAAAATAAAGCAATAAAACGCAACTAATTTTCGGTGTGTCATTTCTCGCTTCTGACGTCAACAAACCAATATGGCCGTTCTAGAAATAGCAGAGCCTTAACGCGTTTATTATTATTGGGTCTATTCGCTATCCAGATTCAGATCGCAAAAAATATCGTTGGTGCGCCCTTATACACCCATACATATGTGTATCGTAAAAAATAAATAATAATGATTCAAATTAAAAAGCTCAATTAAAGAGCTAAATGTTATTGCGTCATATTCTTTTTGCTTAGCTTAATAATCTCCAATAAAATCGAGCCTCACAGAGTGAATTCTGTGTGTAAATAGGATCGTCATAAACTCGCGAATATGATCTATTATCTAAAATTACTTGTCATTGAAAGATTAAACTTATAAAACATCGTAACCGAGACAGATAGAAAGAAAACGAGAGGGCAAAGCATTTCGCGTCTTTGCGTATCTAATCTCATTCGATAGCGGTTATCATGGATTAGTTAGCATATAGGGCTTGCGTATACGCGCACCTTCAGAGATGATGCCGACGGATTTGGCAATGGCTTTGGCAGTGATCGGGTGGTCACCGGTTACCATGATGACCTTGATGCCGGCGGAACGGCACTTGGCGACCGCGTCGGGTACCGCAGCCCTCGGCGGGTCGATCATAGACATCAGGCCCACGAAGCGGAGTCCGTCAACCGGGAAGTTGGGGTCGTCAGAGTTGAACTTGAAACCAACCGGGAACTTGTCGGACGGCAGTGTGTAATCACAAAAGCCGAGCACTCGTTCACCGAGTCCGCCCAATTCCAAGTAGGCGTTGTTGAACGCCTCCTTCATCTCCTCGTCGAGAACCTACGATATCAACGGATATTAGAGTCGAGCAAGTGTAAGAATATCCGAGAGAGATATCGTTTATAACGCAAGTCAGCTTTTTGTCATTTATTACTGCTTATTACTGCTTTATTACTGTTTATTACTGTTAAGAGTAATAAAATAAAATAAGAACAAGCCATATAATAATAAAAGATATGATATAGTTGATTGCAGATCTAATTTGCATATATTTATAATATATCGTATACAGACACACACATATACTCACGCAGGTACAAATTATTTCATTATAGGAATGTTTTGATCATATATTATTGTCATTCTCAACCGAAATTACAGTTTATGAATGATTCTCGATCATAGGCAGCGAATAATTCTTATAACGTACGTAATGTGTACAAACACAGAGAAGTACTTTAAGCCGCACTTAAAGTTGACGGGCGTGCATGTAATCTATGCAGATGATCTATTCCGTTGCTCATGACTGGATAAAATAATTGCATATGTACATTATAAATACATATAAATTAGATTTGCAATCGGTTTTTATCGCTCTTTATTATTATTTGATTTTAATAAATGAACCTTATAATCATTTACTTAAAATAGGAACGTATGAGGCTAGTCTCACCTTCTCTTTGCCGCCGATAAATATAGTCGCGCATCTGTCCAGAATTCTTTCGGGAGCGCCCTTCATCACCAACAGATGCCTGGGATCGTTGGGATCGTCCGACTCGTGTATAGATACTTGATATTTGTTGGTAGAGTTGAAGGGAATCTCGCAGACTTTCTTGTTGCGCTTCCTAATGCCCATCACATCGCCCAACGCAAGTTCCATACACTTGAGCAACGCGGCCTCGGATGCGTCGCCGTTCACTTCTCTTTTCAGAATCGGTTCACCTTCCTGGCCTGGCTTGAACTCGGCGCGGTTGCACAAGGTTGCGATCTTTGCTAGCGCCTTGAATCCAGGACTGGTACGGTCGTACTGCAAGCCGGACTGATCTTCCGTGGTGTCGGCGTCGATAATCTGATTGTCGAACCACATGTGCGCTACTGTCATACGATTCTGCGTCAGAGTTCCCGTCTTGTCCGAGCAGATGGTCGAAGTCGAGCCCAGAGTCTCCACGGCCTCAAGATTCTTCACCAGGCAGTTCTTTGAGGCCATTCGCTTGGCGGTCAGGGTCAGGCACACGGTCACGGTAGCTAGAAGACCTTCGGGTACATTCGCCACGATAATGCCTATGAGGAAGATGACGGCATCGAGCCAGTGGTAACCCAAAATGAAGGCAATAATGAAGAACGTGACGCCGAGGAAGACAGCGACACCAGTAATAAGATGAATAAAATGGTGTATCTCCTTGGCAATCGGCGTCTCACCGGTATCCAGACCGGACGCAAGACCCGCAATCCTTCCCATCACCGTCTGATCGCCACAGCAGATCACCACACCCTTTGCCGTGCCTTCCACCGCGTTTGTCGAGAAGAAAGCGAGATTCTTTGTCTCAAGTGGATTTTCGTTCGTGAACTCGGGTGACCTCGACTGCGGTTCAGACTCGCCCGTTAGCGAACTGTTGTCTACCTTGAATCCCCGTGCCTCGATAATCCTAATGTCGGCCGGTATCCGGTCGCCGAATTTTACATCGACGACATCGCCGAGCACAAGGTCCTCTGCTCTCAGGGTAAGCTTCTCACCCTCCCGGATCACGGTGGCGAACTGGGGCACCATGTTCTTGAACGACTCCATAATCTTGCTCGACTTGCTCTCCTGGTAGTATGAGAATATACCCGTGACTATTACGACCGCCGCGAGGACGATGCCCAGGTAGAGATTGTCGTCGTTCGGGTCCTCGCTGGTCGTGGCCTGGATCGAATACGCGATAAAGCAGAGGATCGCACCGATCCACAGCAGCAGGGCAAAACCGCCAAACAGATTCTTGCAGAACTTCACCCATTCCGGGGTCTGTTTCGGCGGCGTCAGGGCGTTTGGCCCGTCCCTCTCCAGGTTCTCCTTTGCTTTTGCGTGGCTGAGGCCCTGAAAACATTCCCCTCATATCTATTAGTCTATATTCTATACATAGATCGCGAGTTTCGAATTTATTTACACATATGTTTAACATTTTTCTTTCAACGCCGATAAAAAAAATACAAGAAAAATTTAATGCGTCATGGTTGTAACGCGAATTTTGTATGTTTTATAAAAAAAATATTTCAACATATTTCGTTTTGATTCATTAATCTTCCGTTTTATAAAACGATATATATATATATATATATATATATATATATATATATATATATATTTATGTGTGTGTGTGTGTGTGTGTTATATTTTACACAGAAAAAATGCTATATCAATGAAATTTATTATCAACGCTGTAATTAGAGTAACTCTTCTTGACTCAATAGCATAATTATTGGAACTAAAAACACTAGGGGAATTACTCAAATTTATTATTTATAAAACAAAATTAAGCATTCTAAGCATTTATTTCACTATTTAAGTATCACTGTTAATATGAAATAAAACTCTGAAATAAATATATAGAGGAAAAGGTGGTATTATGACTCTTTCCTTACATTTTATAAACAAAAACTTTGTTGGTAATTGATATTTTAAATTAAAAAATTTAATGACTATATTTATCGAAATATCGTCTAATCAATTGTAGATTCAAAGTTATATAATGTTTATTACTTGGGACGATATTTATAAAAATGTGGCGACACTATATAATGGGTCGAAAAGAAAAAGGGGTGATAACATGTGGCTCTCTCCACTAAAGTAAATTTAAAAACTTTATTTTGTTTAAGAAACACAGTATTTTGTGAGTAGTTTGATTTTTCATGGCGCGGTACAAATTTATAAATTTATTTAAAATAAACTCTTAAAGAAGTTTGTACACAAAATAGATTTTTAAACTTAACTTCAATTATTTTTTCAAAAAATTTACGGTATATGTAACGTGAACTATAGATTAATAGTAGAGAGTTACAATCGTTTATCAAATAACTGCTTTGATACCAAAATCTCCAAAAAGAGGCATATCATTAACATTATCAACATCTACATATGGCTTAGGAGGCTATATTAGCAAAATACTATGCTATTATTTAACTTTGTTTAATATATACAATTGAAGAAAATATTAAATATCGAACAAAATACTAAAGTATATATATATATATATATATATATATATATATATATATATATATATATATATATATATATATATATATATATATATATATATATATATATA